ATTGTTAATTTTGTTCGTGTTTTTATTTTATTCTATTTTATTTTTCTGTGGTCATACTCGTGGCTCTATTAAGTACTCCAACAGTAAGGGAGCATTTATTTAAAACCCTTCAATTGATAACGAAGTGAAGGTGACTAAGTCAATTTTGTGCAACATTTTTTTATGTTTAATAAAACAACAACTAGGCCGATGGGGTATGGGTATAACTTAATTGGTTGAGCTCTTTTATCTTCACCCATGTATACAAAGATTTGAAAACAGCTAGAGTCCCACGGGTCAATCTGGGCACATGGGATTCACATATAAGCTTTGCTTCAGGGTTCGGACTCCCGTGAAACAATCAAGACCTTCTTGGCTCTTCAACTCATGTTTTTTTATTATTATGGAAGCCAAAGAATTAATGTACTTTCTTGACCCAAGCTCATGTGTTTCGTTTTTATTTTCTGTTATAAAAAAACATTATGAACAAACCAAGAAACCAACCCAAGGTCATATCCCAACATCAATCTAGAATACTATAGTAAAAGAAAAACTATTCTTTCAAGTTCTAATATTTGAAATCTTTTGCCCAAAATTTGGTGCAGAGAGTTAAATTCTTTGTATACTTGCAAATACAGCTGTAATCCAATTAACTTGTTTGACTCAAAAGGATCCTACATTCAAAGGATATATAAGAATAACCAATTACCCTCTAATTTAGTGGTATTTGTCTCCACTTGATTGTAGTAGATCTTGTGTTCGACTCATATAAATTGTAAAAACGATATATACTTGTGATGAGTTCAATACTCAGTTCTAGTTAGACTCAATATGGAGTAGTATATCCCAACATCAATCTAGAATACTATAGTAAAAGAAAAACCATTCTTTCAAGTTCTAATATTTGAAATCTTTTGCCCAAAATTTGGTGCAAAGAGTTAAATTCTCTGTATACTTGCAAATACAATTGTAATCCAATTAACTTGTTTGACTCAAAAGGATCCTACATTCAAAGGATATATAAGAATAACCAATTACCCTCTAATTTAGTGGTATTTGTCTCCACTTGATTGTAGTAGATCTTATGTTCGACTCATATAAATTGTAAAAACGATATATACTTGTGATGAGTTCAATACTCAATTCTGGTTAGACTCAATATGGAGTAGTATAGCTTTATTATGAAGAAAAAAAAATGAAAATAGAGATGAATGTTCGCCAATTACTATTGATTTACTTTGAACACTAATAAATTATCAACATCAACGAATATTTGGTGCAGAGAGTTAAATTCTCTGTATACTTGCAAATACAATTGTAATCCAATTAACTTGTTTGACTCAAAAGGATCCTACATTCAAAGGTTTGGTGCAGAGAGTTAAATTCTCTGTATACTTGCAAATACAGTTGTAATCCAATTAACTTGTTTGACTCAAAAGGATCCTACATTCAAAGGATATATAAGAATAACCAATTACCCTCTAATTTAGTGGTATTTGTCTCCACTTGATTATAGCAGATCTTGTGTTCGACTCATATAAATTGTAAAAACGATATATACTTGTGATGAGTTCAATACTCAGTTCTAGTTAGACTCAATATGGAGTAGTATATCCCAACATCAATCTAGACTACTATAGTAAAAGAAAAACCATTCTTTCAAGTTCTAATGTTTGAAATCTTTTGCCCAAATTTGGTGCAGAGAGTTAAATTCTCTGTATAATTGCAAATACAGCTGTAATTCAATTAACTTGTTTGACTCAAAATGATCCTACATTCAAAGGATATATAAGAATAACCAATTACCCTCTAATTTAGTGGTATTTGTCTCCACTTGTTTGTAGTAGATCTTGTGTTCGACTCATATAAATTGTAAAAACGATATATACTTGTGATGAGTTCAATACTCAATTCTGGTTAGACTCAATATGGAGTAGTATAGCTTTATTATGAAGAAAAAAAAATGAAAATAGAGATGAATGTTCGCCAATTACTATTGATTTACTTTGAACACTAATAAATTATCAACATCAACGAATGTAACCTAACAAGTGGAAATGGGGTTTTTTATTTTTTTGAAGTGGAAACTTTTTGTCTATTGGATGCACTAAAATCCAGCCTAAACGAGAAAAGCGAAAGAAAGCAGCCCCACACCCACGCTTTAATTATAAAGACTAGAAAACAACTTGAGTGCAAACATAGAAATTGGTTAAAGTCAATTTGCTCCCCACTTTGCATCCGAATTCGAATATCCTTTCTTATAGTTTAGATTAAATTAAAGTAAAATATCGCTTATATAAAAACAAAACAATGGGAAGTAAAATGTAAACAGCCACCTATGCTAATTTTTCAAGTCTTCTCCAACCGACCATGACGCTAAGCAATGGTCGTTTTAAATATTTATCATGCTATGTTAAGAGCTTGTGATCACTGATTACGTCAATTATATGGCAGTTGGGTAATTATTACATAAATGAGTAGACTAACACGTTAAGTTTTTATTATTATTAGGGGACAGGTTTTGAACGGAAAAACTCTTTCAATATTAGGAAGAGAAGTACCACTAAACTAAGTGTTAATTGACAACATGACATAACATGTTAAGTTGATGTTGGAAAAGAAATGGTGATCCATTTGACATATTGTTAATGGACTCGAGAGCAGTGCTAGCACTAGTTTATACGCCGGAAAGTCACTGTGGGTTATTAATGCAAGTGAATCTTACCATGCATCAACGACTCAGAATCACAAACGCTACTTATAGTAGCTTAATTGTACCCTCTAATACAGTAGAATGCAGGGATGGACCTAGGATTTCAAAATGGGGTGGGCTAAATTTTAGGTTCGGCTAAACCTTATAGGAAGGCTTATAGAATTGATCGTAATATTATATAAATTTAATTTAAGAACATATCATTTTTATTTTTTTTATTTCAAGAGTCCAATTTTACACCAACAATTGATTATATATGCTTAAAATTAACATTAGTTGACAACACACAAATCATATTGCAGCTTATTCTTCCTGTTAGTATATGTTTTTTATACTAACAATAAGAAAAGAGAAACACTCAGGTGGGCTGCTCACAATCACAAACGCTACTTATAGTAGCTTAATTGTACCCTCTAATACAGTAGAATGCAGGGATGGACCCAGGATTTCAAAATGGGGTGGGCTAAATTTTAGGTTCGGTTAAACCTTATAGGGAGGCTTATAGAATTGATCGTAATATTATATAAATTTAATTTAAGAACATATCATTTTTAATTTTTTTATTTCAAGAGTCCAATTTTACACCAACAATGCCAACAACAATTGATTATATATGCTTAAAATTAACATTAGTTGACAACACACAAATCATATTGCAGCTTATTCTTCCTGTTAGTATATGTTTTTTATACTAACAATAAGAAAAGAGAAACACTCAGGTGGGCTATAGCCCAGTTTGTACATACTTCAGGTCCGTCCCTGGTAGAATGTATCTTAGTTGTTGATGAAAGTGGGGATGGCTGGTCCCCATTTCATTAAAATGGGTCTACAGAGATTCAGAGAAGCATTGTGATGCAATCTGAATGCAGAGTTTGTAGTACCATCTTATTGAGGCAAGCCGTAATTAAATACCAAATTAATGTCACTATATTCAACCCCGTGACTGACGAAACCACTTGCAAGTGTGCCGTGAGGAAATGAATCAAAACAAAAGAAAGGGTACTCATCTTTACCTATTTTGCAGATTAATGCGTGGTAACTAGTGAGTAGCTCAAATTTTATGCAGAATCATATAAGCATACGAGGAAATGCTATCTTGCTTGCTAGACTCGTGATTCTTGTATCAATGTGAGATTCAAATTTACAGTTCTTCGATATAAGAATTTGTATCTCATTATTAGTCTGGCAAAAGAACGTTACCCTAAACACATGGACCTATTAGATTCAATGGTTGTATACCTAAGTGTTGATACTCTAGAAAGGCAGGCCTTCAAAGCCCAAACCCAGCTCAAATAAGCATTGGCTGCTCCACGAATTTGGGCCTATTAACTGTCGTTCAAGATGTTCTATGCAGGTAATTGACTCCTTTATACAAAGGGGCTTTTTGGTCAAACAAGACAATGGAGGTGGAAATTTCTTGTTGCTTTCACTTGTCCCCTCCCCTCCTGTGGAGAATTGACACAAATGATTAACCAAAGAAAGAAAAGTAAATAGTGAAAGACTGAAAAGCAGTATTCCCAAAGATGAGGCTTCAAAGATCTCCCAGGTAATGCAAGACGAAGGGCCCACTCCCATAATTTTGCACCACAAAACCCAAAAGAAAACAGAAAAAAGAAGAAGAAAAGAATCTAGTATTGAAGGCTAGGATCCAATTTCACTATTTTAATAGTACAATTTTTATTTTTTGTATTTTCAAGTGTAGATAAATAAATCAATTATAATTCATACATTTGCTGTAGAATCATTAAGTTGCACAACAACAGTGGTAGGGCTTGGCTCTCAAAATTTGGAGGTATTACTGAAAACCAAAACGAGGCACATCACATGGCAGCAGCTTCAACTTTCAACCACACACACAAAGTGCAGTGAAAGCTCTGAGCTTTCATTTCTTTCATTTCAATATTTCATATCAGTCAGCAGCTCAGCAGTGAATGAATGAATGAATGAATGAGTGAGTGAGTGCAAGCAAGGTATCATCGATTGGTCCCGTTCTCAAAGCAAGTACACACAATGCACGAAAGCCCTCTAGTGTTGCCCTAAATAGTAAACTTCAGCACATGATGTAATCAAGTCTAGGACCTGCACCTGCAACCTGCAACTCTCTCTCTCTCTCTCTCTCTCTCTCTCTCCCCCTACCCAATAGCCAATATCCACCAACTTCCTCACACTCATTGAGAGTTTGGGATTGGATCAGCAAGCCTGAAGCAAACCAAAAAGAGGGGAAAATCCAAACTTTGAAGGAGAAGGAGAGAATCTTATATACAAGAACCACAGAATGTGAAATTATATTGTAAACAAAGCAAATAACTGGGGAAAGATATTGTTGACTTCAATTCAATGTACACGTTAAAATGGAGAACAGAACCCAAAGGCTCTACAATTTCTACAGTTAGTGGGTCAAAAGCAAAACTCCCACTTAAGAAAAGAAAAAAAACAATAGGAAAACTGGGAGCTACTACAAAGACCTTAAGGAGAACAAAGGGAACTAAAGAGTGGGAGCCAAGCAATTTCTTGACAATTACAATTGTAATTGCAAGCTCCATATTTTTTGGAGCAAATTATCCTCCTAACAAGTATCTTTATCCAACAACTAACTACACTTTCTTCTTTCTTCTGGGGTTTATTCGACAACCATTGACGCCAGTTGAGCAAATTGCATGATTGCATTAGAACCAGCATGGTGTGTGATGTCCACATTGTGAGACTTCTTCATGAATGTTGAATCAATTGTTGGAACAAACATACTTTTCAAGTATATACAGGTGAGCTGATTCGTACCTCACACCCCCGATTTGGCATTCTGTTCAGGGCCACATATCAGAATCAAAAGGGTCATATACATATCCAAGTAAAATTTCCCTGTCATTGGATTGTCCTTGTGAGTTTGCACTTGGAAATGAATATTGTATCAGTATAGTTTAGACTACAAAGCTTCAAGAGCTCTGCAGACTGCTGCTTCAGGACAGGACCGCAACCACTCTGTATCACAAGGAGGAGCTTTGCCGCTAGACCAGCATCCAGAGCAATTGATGAGCATTCTTCAGGGGCATGTTTGCATACAGACCATAAAATTGACAGTGCATATTGAGTACAACTTTCTGAAATTCTCATAAGAAGCCTCACCATATTCGGAATGGTGTTTGAACAATCCTTCAAAGCTGATATTCCCTCCGGTAGAGAGGACAGTGCATCCAAGACGAAAAGAGCTAGTTCTAAGCATTCATGGTCGAGAGAAGGCAAACAATCAACTAACTGAGGCACAGCCCCAATGTTCACCATCAAACCCCTTACTTCCTTATGCAAGCATATTGTTCTGAGGAGGCTAAGTCCAGGCAAGATTCCGGCTGTATGCCTCTTATCTTTCACCAGCCTCATTAGTCCTACCAAGAGGCTATGGCTTGAAATAATTTCTGATCGAAAATCCTTCTCCTCCATCAGCATTTTGATCAACCGGGTACAATTGATTTTCGTCTCAATGGACCCCTCATTCAGAATGTCCACCATTAATGAAATTTTTGCGGGTTGCATCAAACTCGTTCTCGATTCTGAATCAAGGGTCAAATTGACAAGAATGGCAATGACTTCGGAACCAACAACATGTGAAGTAAATGGACCTAGCAGGGATGAAACTACAGTAGCCCCACCTTTATCAATCAGTGTCTTCCTGGCAGTGGCGTGAGCTGCCACAACTTGATGAAGCTCCTTGAGGGCTTGCACCCTAGCTTGACCCTTCACCTTCTTTAGTGTCTCGACAAGCTCAGAAGCCCTTCCTTGAACATCTTCAGACCTCTTCTTCATGAGCAGATACTTCTGGGAAAACCAAGTGTAGATTAGATGGTAAAGGGTCCTATTCGGGGTTATCGAATCGTCCCAGAGCTCCTGCATTGTGGTGGGGCAGGTGAGGTGCCCCAAATTGAACCATTTGAGAATGTTGGAGCTCTCATAGGTTTGGCCAGTGCAAAGGGTCACTGGGTCTTGCATTGGCTCCAGGGAGATTGGGCAGATGAACACTGAAGGGACCTCAGACAAGTCAAGCTCTTCAATCATCTTCCTCAGATCCAATTTCTCACCAACACCAGTAGTAACAACCCCACCACCAACACCACCCAAAACCCCATCCTTCACAGCTGTGTCCAGATCTATGACATGCCCATCTCCACCACCATCAAACCCAACAACCCCATCCCTCTTTGAGGGCTGAAACATAGGCATTCTTGAAACTCCTTTTGAGAGAAAAGAAACCCAAACCCTCAAAAATATTAAAAACCCAAAAAAACCAGAGAGAGAACTAAAAAAAAAACCTCAAAACGACTGCAATGGCAAGCTCCCTTCAGAGCACATTACATCTGGATAGCACATGAAATGTATGAAAAGGGATAAAGACAGAGAATAAAAATCCCACCTGTGTTTCTCTCATTGACAATATACAAGCAACAATACTCTATTTATTGCACACACACACACAGCTTCTGTTGCTTTTTCCTAGTTTGCTTTTTATCTGATCTCTTTCTACGGTCAAAAGCATCATTACAATCATAATACACACATCATAAAACACACAATCAAGCTCGTTTCACTTCATGCTCAAGCTTCAAAAGGGTTCAATCAACAACCCATTTCACCAGAACAGAAAAAGATGTGCAATAAAGCAAAGCAAAGGGGGAAAAACAAAAAGACTTAGACCGCTCAAAGATAAGCAAACAGTGGAGACTACAAGTAAATCTAAAGGGGGTTGTGCAGAAATTGAGAGAAGAAAATAAAATAAGCAATACCCAGATCTCATAAGGCGGAGAAAATGAGGAATTCGAAGAGCTTTAAGAGAAAAAACTATGTGAGGGGCCGTACCGCCAAAGGCAAAGGTGGACAGAGAGACCAAGAGAGAGAGGAGCAGAGAAAAGCCATAGCTCTTCTTTTGGAGAAGTTTTACTGAAAGCTCTTCCAGTCTTTACCGAAAATAATAAATTTGTTTATTTATATTTTTGTTTGTTTGTTTGTTTTTTTTTATGTTAAAAAAATTAAAAATGGGGACTTTGAAATATCGGATGACCGGGAACCACGGGCTGCAGCCGGTGAATAAGCCCCTCGGCCCGCGCAGCACACGTGCAGTCATTTCACTTGTCTCCTTAATCTCCCGCTTCTCTGCTAATTACCTGCTTTATCCCTCTTTATTGTCCATTTACAAATCTTTTCTGCATTGACAATTATACCCCTGTTTGGTATTTTTTTAAACAAATTTGAAATGAATTGAACTTGGAGTATCTTTCACAATTGTATGAGAGAAGTGTCACTAGTTATTCATACCATATTCGCTTGATCATCTTTATTTTTTTTGCATCTTCTAAAACCTTGTTGCAATTCGAACCCTTTAGTTATCTGTATAATTAGAATTTTAGCTTACTTTTTTTCAAAACTTGTCCTCTAGCATTTAAAATGTTAAAGTTCATATAAGTCAGTGTCACAAATACATCAATAAAAATGACGCAAAATTGACATGTCGTTTAAATAGAACCCTTCTGCATTTGAATTATTTTCACCCCAAGCCATTTCCCATTGTATTTATTCATTTATTGGATCACAATTAGACGGACAACTTATTTATTTTTATATTTTTGGACAGAAATTCTTTAACATTTAATATTATGTAAAGGACTCTTTCGGATTTTCATGAGTCAAATGATATTTTGAGAAAGAGGACAAAGTGGTATTTTGAGAGAGGAAAAGGAAAGTGGGTCAAAAAGACCGCCCAAATTGGGTAAAGTGTACCCACGAGTCATCTGAGTCATGACCCAACCCCCACGAAGGGGAGAGACTAGTCTTTTTGCCCACGTACCACTATTTACTACTTTACTATTTTACTAGTTACTAGGAATGAGGAAATTAGGAACGGCCCACGATGAGCTTCCTACGTACGATGCCACATCTCGATTTAGCAAATCGAATATTTCAGACACTTTTTCTCTCCAAAAAAATTATAATAATTACTAAGTAAAAACCCAAGTGGAACCCACCAACCAATTTTCCACTTTTTAATATTCAAAATAATAATATTTTCCTACTTTTATTTTTTCGGGTAAAGGTCCCAGCTAAGCGTTTGACCGCGACAGTTTTGCTTTGACTGTACGCCTCCGTTGGCTTATCCGGTCTTTTGCTTTGACTGCTTTTCCCCATCTCCCACTGCTCTCTCATTCTAATACGTTGCTGCTTCCGTTGCCCCCTCACTCAATCATACACCGACACGTATTTTCATCTAATTTTTTTTGGGTGGATTAAATATTATTTATTGCTTTTGGGTGGGACTGGGGCACGGGGGTTTTGTGTGGGTCCTCCCAGACTGGACCCTGCCCACTGCCAATTTTAGGTTGGATTCATTACATAATAATAATTATTATAAATTAATAATACTAATTAATTTATTGTGGCACAGAACAGAACAGAGAGTGATTAGTTTAATGAACAATGTGTGAGCGCATTGTTATGAGTGTTAATGGCTTGTTATTAAAAGATCATCCAATCATTATTTTATATTAAGTTATAATCTGGATGTCCAAAATATTGGAATCAAATTTGCTACACACCTACAACATAGGTGTCACATGACCCACCAAACTGAGTTCCTCGTGAGTAGGGTTACGAGGATGTCTTGAATTGTTAGGGTTCTTTGTTTATTTGTTTTGTTTTTATTGTTTTTTTTAATTGTTAGATTAAGAAGTGCTATTAGGTCTAACTGAAAAGATGTGCTGGAAATGTGTTCACACTTTTTATCTTATTACTTTAATCAAATCAACTCCATTCGTAGTCAAGATTCAAGCAAGCTTTGGGCCAAAACAGGGTTATGAAAAATGCTAGACACATCAACTTTTAGCAAGAAATTATGTGACAATTTTTTATTTGTTGTGAATAAATATGGTTTATATAACTTATAATAGATGGGGCATCATCTAAGGGCCTTAGATAAGGCCTTCGCTATAGAATTCGACCATTAGTTGGTGCTCTCTAATATTGTTAGTACGAAGAAATAAATAGTTACGTAAACTAATGATCATTTGATGTAGTAGCAACTAATCTTCACTTCATCAGTAGAAGTTATGATTGATAATCTCATAGATCATAATTGTTAACAAAAACATGAAAAAGAAGAAGAAGAATATCTTTATAATATGGCTTTTCACACATATTACACTTTATTTTGATCCCTTTTTTTTTTTAAAAAAACAAGCGATATTGGGGGAGGGGGGTTTTCTCATACACACAGGTGTCATGGGAATTCAAACTTAAAACCACTGGTCTGCAAGTCAATATCTTATCTTATTACTTTAATCAAATCAACTCCATTGGTAGTCAAGATTCAAGCAAGCTTTGGGCCAAAACAGGGTTATGAAAAATGCTAGACACATCAACTTTTAGCAAGAAATTATGTGACAAATTTTTGTTGTTGTGAATAAATATGGTTTATATAACTTATAATAGATGGGGCATCATCTAAGGATCTTATATAAGGCCTTCACTATAGAATTCGACCATTAGTTGGTGCTCTCTAATATTGTTAGTACGAAGAAATAAATAGTTACATAAACTAATGATCATTTGATGTAGTGGCAACTAATCTTCACTTCGTCAGTAGAAGTTATGATCGATAATCTCATAGATCATAATTGTTAACAAAAACATGAAAAAAGAAAAGAAGAATATCTTTATAATATGGCTTTTCACACATATTACACTTTATTTTGATCCCTTTTTTTTAAAAAAAAGACAAGCAATATTGGGGGAGAGGGTTTTCTTACACACACAGGTGTCATGGGAGTTCAAACTTAAAACCACTGGTCTGCAAGTCAATATTATTTCCACTAGGCTAGACCCGTTGGTCTCTTTTGATCATATCTATTGATTTTTATTTTATTTTATTCTAAAGGAAGGAAATAATTTTTAAAATTCTTAAAAAAGCGTTTGATAATGTAATGTTAGTTTTCTTTCCCTACTCAACAAAAAGACATTTGGATAATGCTAATAGGCCCAGACATTTGGATAATGCTTGTTGGGCCAGTGAAAATGGATACCAAACAGACATAATGGTGTGTATAGGGGGCCTACATAATTGATGAATGGTTGACATTTTCCAACTTGGGCTTGGAGGAGCCAATATCTGGGCTCGGGCGCTCACAGGCCCAATACTTGTGTGATGCGTTCTACAACATTTGCCATTTTGAGAAATAATAAGGACGGTATTGGTATTTTAATAGTTTCTTTATAGAGAACCGATATTTTTATAAAAATCAGTTTTGGAGAAGCTACTTCTTTTTTTTTTATGAAGAAAATGGGGGGAAACCCCAAGCACCAACACAGCAACTAACCAGAACTAATCAGGCGGGACTTAACAGTTCCCAAAGAATCATTAAGCAATAAAAAATCAAGCCAAGCAGGGCTCTCCTCAAGATAGTAACAGCCTAGATCCAAATTGTGACTCCAAGTAGCCAACCCGTCAGCTACATCATTCATCTCTCTATAGATATGTTGAAGCTTGATCCTTCGAAACAAGTTCATAAGTCTTTTACAGCTACTAATCAGCCCTGCATTAGGATGACAAGCATTCAAAATCTTACTCTGAACAAGAAGCACCGCAGTCTCAGAATCCATCTCAATAACAATATCCTCTACTTTTTTCTCAACAGCCAAGTTCATCCCAAAAAATAGCCCCCACAACTCAGCTTCAAGAACTTCTCCCTGGCCTGAGTTGACAGAAAATCCACCAATCCACTGACCCAAATGATCCCTCAAGACTCCTCCAGCACCAATGGCACCAGTACTGTTCATGCGAGATCCATCGACATTTAACTTGATCACACCAATTTCAGGAGGAACCCAAGCCAACAACACTTGCACCTTATTAGCTCCCCTATTATTACCAGCAATGGCTTGAAACCAATCCTTTGCAGCAGTAAAGATAAAATCTTCGGGACTGAGGTCACTCTACACGTTATTGGCTTTTACAAGATTTCTGAAATTGTCCTTTTGGGCATTTTAGGAGCCAAGCCAAGTTCCTATCCGCTTCTTTCCATTCATAAAAAAGACAGAGTTTCGTTTTTATTGTTTTGACTTGGCAATACATAATTTTGGAGTGGCTACGCATACGATTACATTGAATGAGTTTGGTGGCTTGGTCAGTTCCTCATTTTGCTTACCAAGCTCAAGCTACATACAAGTACAAAAAGTGTGATTGAATCGGAAAAAGTTCGAGTTTTTTTAATCATCAACTAGGGAAATTGACTCGGTAAATTTATTTATTTATTTATTGAGTGTGAAACTGTTGGTCGTAGATGTAATCTGAATTTTATAAAACAAAACAATTAAATTAAGAATCAACAAATATATATATTAAAATCAAATTAAAGCGGACAAAAGCCAAACAAACAACTACAAAGTCTGCATTACTATTATTAACCATGAAATCAATCTAAGCTTACATGAATCAAAACTCTAAAACAATTTGTTGACGTGAGTCTCCTAATTAATTAAGGAGAATTATTTCCTTGATTAATTAAGGGATTTACTTTCCCATTCCATGTAGTTGACAAATCTGTGTATAATTAGGAGATAATTTCCTAATTCCTGTTTGAATCTTATTCCTTGTAAAGCACTCTGTAAACCCATATATATACCTCCTTATGGAGAAGAATATATCAATCTGAACATATTGAAAACCCGTATTCATATTTTAGCATGGTATCAGAGCAATCGATCATAGGTTGTCTCTAAATCCTCGTATTGAATTTCTCGAAACCCGAATCCCTCGTATCAAATTCCTTGAACCACGAACCCGTATCCTTGTATCCTGAATCCCTGACCCCTGAATCCTGAATCCTGAATCCCGAAACCCTGAATCCTGAAACTCTGAATCCTGAATCCCGAAACCCTAAACACAACCCGAAGCCCTAAACACACTCTGAATCCTG